TGAGGAGTTTCAGAGGTATTGTACAGAGGAGGGGATTACTCGTCACTTCACGACAGTTTACACTCCCCAACAAAATGCTATTTCTGAAAGACTCAACAGAACAGTGTTGGAAAAGGTGCGGAGTATGCTAAGTGAATCTGGTTTACCAGGAGAGTTTTGGGCCGAAGCCGTCAACACCGCAGTTTATCTGGTAAACCTCTCTCCTTCTAGTGCAATCCAATTTTCTACACCGTTTGAACTCAGGCATAAACGGATGGCAGATTACAGCCGCTTGAAGGTTTTTGGTTGTACTGCTTATCCTCTTACGCCAAAGAAGCAGAGAACTAAGTTAGACCCTACATCCAAGAAATGTCGTTTTCTTGGATATGCTAGTGGAGTGAAAGTTTACAGGCTATGGGATCCACTTGCACGTAAGGTGATTGTCAGTCGAGATGTTTCTTTCAATGAGCTTGGCTTATTGAAAGAGGGGGAGAATTCTAAGTCTCCTCGTACTGACAAGGAAAAATCTCCAGTCACGGATATCACCGTGGGAGAGTTTGATCATTATATCACTAATGATCTCTCACAAGAAGAAGCACCTGTTCATCAAGAACATGAGGAACTTGAGCGAATTATCATTGATGAGCCTATTGCAATAGTTTCAGATAACAGATATCAACCTGAAACGTCTACTAGGAGATCGCATCGTGCTAGTAGGGCTCCTGAAAGGTTTGGTGTGTGGGCATATTCATCCATTCTAGAAGATTGTGACTTTGATATCGAAGATAGGAATGGTATAACGTTGATTTTGGAAGAAGGTGAACCTTCTTCATACAGGAAAGCTCAAGCTTCGATCAATAAGCTTGAGTGGAATACTGCTATGAAGCGGGAGATGGAATCCCTGATTGACAATAAGACTTGGGAGCTGGTTGAATCTCCTACCAATCAAATGGTGATTGACTCCAAGTGGGTGTACAAGCTGAAAGATAATCCAGGAGGATACGAGGCGAAAATCTTCAAAGCTAGGTTGGTGGCTAGAGGTTTCACCCAAGAGAAGGGCGTGGACTACAACGAAGTTTTCTCACCGGTAGCTAAGTATGCTACAATTCGTCTGGTATGTGCACTGGCTCCAATATTTGATCTTGTTATGGATCAGATGGATGTGGTTACAGCTTTTCTCTATGGATACTTAGAGGAGGATATCTACATGAGACAACCTGTTGGTTTTGAGGTCAAAGGCAAAGAGAGGTTGGTTTGTAGATTATTGAAATCATTGTATGGATTGAAGCAAGCTCCTAGGCAGTGGAACACGCAATTTGATCAGTTCATGAAGGCACAAGGATTTATTCGGAGTGTGTATGATCCTTGTGTTTACATGAAGAAGTTAAATGATGAGACGTTCAATCTCATCATTTTAGTACTCTATGTTGATGATATGCTCATATTGGCAAAAAACCAATCCGATGTTGATGAATGCAAGAGTAAGTTGAAGTCTGCATTTGAGATGAAGGATATGGGGAAGTCAAAGAGAATATTAGGCATGGAGATACATAGAGATCATGAGCAGAAGAAACTATGGTTGAGTCAAGGCAAGTATGTTCGTCGTATACTTGACAGGTTAAACATGATGGATTCCAAAGGAGTATGGACTCCTTTGGCAGCACATTTCAAACTCTCTGCAGCTCAATGTCCTACGGATGCGGTGGAGAAAGGAAATATGTCATGTGTTCCCTATAAACAAGCTGTAGACAACCTCATGTATTTGATGGTGTGCACTAGGCCGGACATTGCTTTTGCGATGAGCAAGGTGAGCAAGTACATGTCAAATCCAGGGAAAGTTCATTGGGAAGCAGTGAAATGGATTTTGAGATATTTGAAGAGTACTCTGGATAATGGCTTATTGTTTGATGGTCTATTAGACAATGCCAAATCCTTGTTTGGTTACGTTGATGCTGACTACGGACAAGATCTAGATAAAAGTAGATCTACAACTGGCTATGTATTTACACTTGGCGGTGGAAGCATTAGTTGGAGGTCTACCTTGCAGAAATGCGTAGCTCAGTCAACAACGGAAGCTGAATATGTGACAGCAGCAGAAGCGGCAAAGTAAGCTATTTGGTTGGATAGGCTTATCATGGAAATGGGATTGAAGCAGGGCGTGGTTAATCTTCATTGTTATAGTCAGAGCGCTTTACATTTGGCCGCGAACCAGGTCATGGATAGCAGAGTGAAGCACATTGACATCAGTTATCATTTTATCACACAAGCAGTGTCTGATAAAACGATTGAACTAGTAAAGAACGACGGTAAACTCAATCCAGCTGATGCTTTGACCAAAGTTATTCCATTGGAGAGTTTCAAGCGACACTGTGCTACCATGCAAGTTGTGCATGGGGAGCATATGTAAACTTTGCTAGCATACTAACTCTATTTACCTCTTTATGTTATTACTCTATCCTGTTATGGCTACGGTCTAGTTCTAGTTAACTCTCGTATAAAGAGGGGCCTTGTGATAGGCATCTGTCTAGAACTTCCCGCTGAGTAATAATATAGGTTTCAGAGGTTACTATTTCCTTAACACGAATTAAGAGGGAGATTGTTGAGGTTAACTCCGGTTAAGGAGTAACCTCACGCTCTAGCTATTTATAGTTATGTGTGTCGCTGGCTTTAGGTATAAATATACCTCCAAAGCCAAGGCTTGGTAGTGTAGCGGAAATATTGTGTATTCACTTGTCAGTAAACCTGCTAAGTGTTCCAGCCGTGGACGTAGCCCTCGAGGGTGAACCACGTTATAGGAGTGTCTTATGAATGATTCTTGATTTTTCGTTAACAGTTTGTATTACTCTTGATTTACACTACATAGTTCTATTTTCACAACTTTGATAAATTTTTCACATGTAAAGTATTGTAGGTTAAATTTAACTATACATAACACAACTTCAAAGATTCTATAAACAAATTGGCAATTATAAAGACAAAGGAAACTGAGTTTGAAATAATTAAATACTATAGACATGACAAATATATGTTTTGAGATAGTCAAGTCAAAAGCAAATCGAATGTTTAATTACAATATCTTTCAAACGACACTTAATTTGGATGTTCGCAGAGTTTTTTAGTCTACGTAGCCTTGCCCAAATATGTGTGAGTAGTTTATCATGAATACTAAGGACGTCATTGGTCAGATAATAGCATGATGTGCTTAAATTGTAGATATTTATCTATAGAATTATTTAATCTTCTTTACCTAGTCTAAAGATCTTGGCAAGATGTTGAGATCAAAAGAATACAATTCCATCCACATGAAGACTAGAAGTAATTTAAAAAACATGTTTCTAATTGATACTATAAATAATAACTTTGAATTTTAGTCAAATGTATGAGAATAATCATTAAATTTTGTTTTTTAATATTAACCTGAGTATTAATCATATATTGAATTCAAAATTCGAATTGAATATTTATAAACTCTACTTGCATCAAATACAACTTTTATTTAACCTGATAATAATAAAATATAATATGACATAATAACGTTTCCGCGTAATTATCCAAGACTTCAACTTTAATTTCAAATCATATTATAAAAATTTGAATATAATTTTTTATTTTGTTCACATCAATTTTAATTGAATTATAAAATTATTTTGGTTTTTTATTTCCAATATATAAATTTAAAAATTTATTATAAAAAATTTATTCAATTTATTTCTTTCAAGATAAAATAAATAAATAAATAAATGATTTATGACATAGTTAAATTTTTAATTTAATTAATTATAAAAATATTTTTATCTTTTCCATATTTTAAACATGAACATTTAGCTCTAATAAAAATTTTCTAATTTAATTTTTCATTGAATTTTTGTTATCTATGCACATTATTGAAAAATAGAATATTACAAGATATCAGCAATTTTTATTTGGAATTTGTTTAATTTTTTTTTCATTTTTAAGTTTTAATACTAATTTTATGTTTCTAGAAGCTTTCATATTTTTTTAAAAATCCCCAAAAAAATATATATATACGTTGCATATACTAAAAACATGCTGTTTACATAACTGGGGGTTTTTTACAATGGAAAAATAAAATTATGGTATTAATGGTATATTCTAAGTCTATAGCATAAGAACTATACAAGATTGAACAGCATGTTCGGAATGAAAATTCACAACCTACGGACGAAAAACTCCTCATATGTGAAGTGTACTTTGGAACATTATGGATCAAAACATGAGTTCCATTTTCTAATTTGCCCAAAAAAGCAATGATACTTTTTGATGTTAGGAAGAAGTAAAATACTTTTTTAACGTGTTTTGGCGCTCCCGAATACATAGATGTGGGAAACCACCAAAATTAGCGAAGATTTTTTGGACCTCCGTGATCTAATAATTATGCCGCCGTCTATTTTGTTGGTATAGACGTGGTAACCTGGCAAGTGACGGGCTGGAGGTCATGACCCGGGATCTGTTTGACAACAACTTGGCTCTAAAGAATTACGGTCGCAGCCAATCACACTCGCGAAAGCTGACAATGAACCGGGAAATCCGCGACCGGGGAAGGCAAGAACCGAAAGACAAGACTTGACGAGACGAGCTTTTGAGGTCGGCATTTCGTTGTCCATGCTACCCAGCTCCGCGACCGGTCATCGTCAGGCCCGAGGGGAGCGACGAGGCCCCAGTCGCGCCTTCGGATTGGCGACCTCACTTGCCCGGCGTCCGAGAGCCAAGTGACCGTCTTGACCACTTGACCCAAGGCCAGAACTTGTGAAGCGAGCTTTCCCGCGGACTTCGAGGATTCCAGGCCTCCACGTAGAAAGGGCCCCGCGGAAAAGGTGACGCGGACGGTTCGGTGGTGGAGGCTGCAGCCAATTGGCGTTCGATTTGAGCTGAGCTGGCGAGGTGCCAAGTGCTCGGGTGCCACGAATCAGCCTCGGTGTCGCTCTGTCTAGAGACTTCTGGGCCTCGCTAGAGCGCTCCACTTGGTTCGGCTCGGCCTCCCTCGACGCCGAGGTTTTTCTAGAACCTGCACCTCGTCGGTCGCTCGGTCGATCGCCCGGCCTCGATTCTGTTCTAGCCAGACGCGATTGATTGGCACCTTATCGCCAATTCCTTCCAGTCGAATCCTCGGCCTGCTTAAAAGGCCGGCCTCACTCCAAATTTCGGCGAGAAAGCGCGAGCTCCCGATCTGCCTTGGCGAAAGAGTGCACACTGCTCTGATTTGCATCATCTGGAGTCGTGGTTGTATATTGAAGAGTTGAGAAGCAGTCTCGAGGAGGGACAAGAGGAATTTCTCGCGGACGAGTCGATCGTGTTTGATTAGTTTAGGACTGTCGGAAATTTTCTTTTCTGAAGTAGTTTGCGAGGATTAGCATGGCGGCTGCATGCGCTCAAGTGGTAAGTGGGAACATCGGAGCGGCGCCGGTCGTGCAGAGTGTCGAGAGCTTGTCGAAGAAGACGTCGTGTGTCTCGAATAAAGCTTTCTTCGGGACGAGTTTGAAGAGCAGATCAGGTTTCGTCAATGGTGGGAAGGGTTTGAGGGCGAGTAGCAAGAAGGACGCGCGTCGGAGCTATGTCGGTCCCGTTAGAGTGGTGGCGGAGAAGGTGGTGGGAATCGATTTGGGGACCACGAATTCTGCAGTCGCGGCAATGGAAGGAGGAAAGCCCACCATCGTCACGAACGCTGAGGGTCAAAGGACGACGCCCTCGGTGGTCGCCTACACTAAGGCTGGAGACCGCCTTGTCGGGCAGATCGCGAAGCGTCAGGCTGTCGTGAACCCCGAGAATACTTTCTTCTCCGTAAAGAGGTTTATCGGTCGTAAGATGGTCGAAGTCGATGATGAATCTAAGCAGGTCTCTTACACTGTCATGAAAGACGATAATGGAAACGTCAAACTCAACTGCCCTGCCATTGGAAAGACCTTCGCTGCTGAGGAGATATCCGCGCAGGTACGTCAATTGTCTACTACGATCACTTCTGCTGTGCTAGACGTGTTCCAACCCCTGCGCAGTCTTCTACTCTCGTTGCTTCTCAATAGTCTCGTCTGACTGCAGTTCATATTGTATACTTTTATTTTGATGCGCATGGTAGAAACGGTAGCCTATGAGGACTTTCAGATGTCTGTCTCCTCGAGAAGATTGGTACTCCGTTCGTAACACGTAGATGAATTCTGCGCAGGTATTGAGGAAACTTGTTGATGACGCCTCGAAGTTCTTGAACGACAAAGTGAGCAAGGCAGTTATCACTGTGCCAGCTTACTTCAATGACTCCCAGCGTACAGCTACCAAGGACGCTGGTCGGATTGCAGGCGTGGATGTGCTGCGTATCATCAACGAGCCTACTGCTGCCTCCCTGGCATATGGTTTTGAGAAGAAGAGTAACGAAACCATATTGGTTTTCGATCTTGGAGGTGGTACTTTCGATGTGTCAGGTAACCAGATGAGCGAATCGAAGGATTGTTTGTCAGTGAATACGGTGACGCCTGAAAGTGCGCGAACGGAAGTCAAGGTGACAGATTTGTGATAAAAACCATTCGGAGGTTGGTATTGTTTTCTAAGTATATCAAGTTTCGTTGCGCAGTTTTGGAGGTCGGTGATGGTGTCTTTGAGGTGTTATCGACTTCTGGAGACACACATCTTGGCGGAGATGATTTTGACAAGGTATCTCTCGATGGCTTTTGCTCCTTCCGCGGCATCATCTCTGACAAAAGTCAGCTTCCTGGAAATTCTGTTTGGAAACAGCGTAGTGTCCATTGTACATACCTAGCCTAACGCAAGTTTCTCCGATGTGCAGCGAATCGTGGATTGGTTGGCCGCTAACTTCAAGAAGGACGAGGGAGTCGACCTCTTGAAAGACAAGCAAGCTCTCCAAAGGCTAACTGAAGCCGCCGAAAAGGCCAAGATGGAGCTGTCAACCTTGTCTCAAACAAGCATTAGGTGAGTTTCCGTAGTGTCGTAAAACTATTGTTTGGCTATCTACCTTTGTCTTGTTGTGGGTTCTAACATGAACTGTTCTCCATCCAGTTTGCCCTTCATCACCGCAACTGCCGATGGTCCGAAGCATATTGATACCAACCTCACCAAAGCCAAGTTTGAGGAACTCTGCTCCGACCTACTAGACAGGTGAGAATTGCCTTCGATTTCTTGCTGATTCTCAGGCCAATCCAGACCAACGCGTTCGCTCGTATCATTTGCAACCCGAACTTGTGAAGAACTGAACAATCAGTACGATGTAAACTCTTGCATTTCCTACATCTCGCAGGTGCAAAACGCCGGTTGAAAATTCCCTTCGGGATGCGAAGCTTACGTTCAAGGACTTGAATGAGGTCATATTGGTCGGTGGTTCTACTCGAATTCCTGCTGTGCAAGAACTGGTGAAGAAAATAACCGGAAAGAGTCCCAATGTTACTGTGAACCCTGATGAAGTTGTGGCACTGGGAGCAGCTGTTCAGGTAATTGTTCAATTTCCTTAATCTCTACTGGAATGATATGTACTGCCTTTTTGTCCTCCCTAAGTTTATGTTTGTCTGTAGCCAGGTGTGCTTATATTTGGCTATGGTTTCTTTCATCCCTGCAGGCTGGTGTTTTGGCTGGAGAGGTCAGCGACATCGTTTTGCTCGACGTTACCCCTTTGTCAATTGGCCTGGAAACACTTGGCGGCGTTATGACCAAAATTATTCCAAGAAACACCACTCTACCTACCTCTAAATCTGAGGTCTTCTCTACAGCAGCCGATGGGCAGACCAGCGTGGAAATCAATGTGCTTCAAGGTGAACGTGAGTTTGTGAGAGACAATAAATCTCTTGGTAGCTTCAGGCTCGATGGCATCCCCCCTGCGCCAAGGGGTGTGCCTCAGATTGAGGTGAAATTCGACATCGATGCAAACGGTATTCTTTCAGTCACCGCACAGGACAAGGGAACTGGAAAGAAGCAAGACATTACTATCACTGGAGCTAGTACTTTGCCGAAAGATGAGGTAAAGACGATGGGTCTTTAACCCGCACTCTATCTCATAATCCACATTAGATTTAACACTATGTGATATTCAAAGATGTTGGCATGAATTTCTAACCTGTTTTTCTAACATGTAGGTGGAGAGAATGGTTAATGAAGCTGAAAAATTCAGCCAAGAAGATAAGGAGAAAAGGGATCAAGTCGATACTAAGAATCAAGCTGACTCGATTATCTACCAGACCGAGAAACAACTGAAGGAACTCGCTGATAAAGTACCTGGACCCGTCAAGGAGAAGGTAGAGGCAAAATTGACAGAGCTGAAAGACGCTGTAGCCGGAGGCAATACCCAGTCCATTAAAGATGGAATTGCGGCCCTGAATCAGGAAGTTATGCAACTAGGTCAGTCCCTGTATAACCAACCTGGGACAGCGGGTGGACCCTCTCCAGGAGGTGCGCCTGAGGGAGGTGCGGCACCGAAAACTCCAGGAGGTGATGAAGTCATCGATGCCGATTTTACCGACAGCAATTGAAGCCATTATTGGGAAGTTTCAAAATGGCATTCACTGGACACTGTACGCCTGTCGTTGTAACAAAGAAGTGGAAGGTCCGTTCTAGAAAGAGATGGCAACCAAGCGACACGAAGAAGTGAGGTATCATCAACAACTGAGCGATGAAGCAGTCGAATTCATTTTAGGTAGATTGTGGGTGATCTCGGTGGGAGTAGAAACGTAGAGAAAACATCTACTCGTGTATCTAAGTTTTGCTAGCATGAGTGATCAACTCATTATTGTAGCAGCCAGTGGACAGACCCTGGAAAAGATTTTTTGATGGATGTGTAACATATATACAGAAACTAGCAATTAGAGCGATTCAGTCATGCCATGCAGAAGGCAGCATGAGAAAGTTGTAGAATTCTCTGGATAGAAAATCAAGCAATTCAATATTCAAGCACTCAAAACTGTCTATAATATACATCTCTCATGTAGATGAGTGTGCAAGAAACAGTGAAATTCCCACATATTGATGCATAGTTTTCCATTCAAATTACTGTGAGCACAATGAAATCTGAAGAAAGCTAATTAATTACATAATATATAGTGGAGAAAATATACAACATACCTCTAAAACAAAGAAAGAGATCTAAAGTGTTACACGATAAAACTTGAGTGTGATATATATTATAATAATATGTATATATTATATATAATATTACAAAGTTATGTATAAGCCTAGAAAGTTTAATTCGTGGTCAAATCTAGATTCAAGTACACTTTTATCACATAAAAAACAAATTTTTATATTTATATCATTTGCTTATACATTTAACTTAAGAAATAAAAAATTTATTAAAAAATTTTATATATATATGATATTCTTCACATCTACAATTAAGTTTTGTGAAACGGATTGTTCATTAAGGTTGCTATTATACATTACAAAATTTATCACATACAACAAAATTTTATATATATATGAAATGAAATTATTAACTCAAAAAGAATGATAACTTTGATCAACCTTCGAAAAGTTATCATTCCATGGTAACTTTTAGAAGGTTCGTTATCATGCATTTCCACTGCATTATGAAATTTACTCCAAATTATAATAAAAAAAAATGTCTTGTGAATACCAAAGCAACTCTCTATTGACTATGGTGTGGTACATTTTGTTGAACGATTTTCATGGTAGAGTAAGCAAGTCATATGATCATGACGCATAATCATGTGTTCTCACGACCAGATGGTTACAGCCCTCTTACTCTTCCACTCATATGCATTTTGCTGTATGAATATAGATTAGAAGCAACATCCAGAGCTTTAACATGCAAGATTTGCTCCCTATATGATGAAACATATCGAAATTGACTACTTTACACATTAGCATTAACATATGCAATGTTGGAAAGAGAAAAAAAATCGGTTTTTAGTCATTATTTTTCGTTGAATGAATTCTTTTGAGAACAAATTGACTTCAATAGTTAAAGCTGACCAAAGTGCTAACTTTAGTCCCCATAGGAAAAATGCAATAAAAGCAATGGGGTAATTTAACAACCATATAGAATAAGATACCAAAAGCTAAGCATCATTCTACAACTTAATGACACCAAAGTCATGATGTCTTGTAAGTAAAATTCAAGAAATGCATTTTTCTTTAAAGATAAAACAAGTTCTATCTCAATAGAGATATTCATACTAGCTACTCAAACACATAAAAGTAGAGTTGCAATATGAAAATTGCAAATTTAGCTATTGAATCTTTACTTTGGATATCTTTTTTCACCACCAAACATTGATTTTTGTTTCTCAATCTAATTTCAAATTTTTTGCTGATTGTGTTCTTTTTGGTGTATGGTTTAAGGATGTCATATATTTTTCACACATGTAGACATAGGTTTCACATCAAATATCATTATGTATGGTTTATTTTATTCCAATACAAATGTATAACAATATTTTTCTTCAATCTTTAGTTCTTGCAACACATCATTATTATAATCATAGCATATAAGAACATATAATAGTCAAGTCAAATCTATCTTGTGATTCAAGTTTTATACTTTTGTATATCAGATATTTTTTTAAGCCACATTCGGACACAACTCTCATCCTCATAGCATAATCCAAAAATTTAGAATAGAATCATATCCATTTTATACTTAAAATGTTCAATTTCTTTTCACTAGTTATTTTTCATCACAGCCTCATATCTCTAAGTTATGAATTTAAAAATTGAAGACTCAACAATTTGAATTTGAACTCTATCTCCTCATATCTAGCTGACATAAAAGTCTAATTGTTCCTAACACTTTTAGTTGAATGACATTGCCTAATTATTTTTTAATTATTTCTCTTCATATATATGGATTTTTACTAAGTAACGCAAAAATCGTAATAATTTGCACGTCATTCTAAAGTTGATTCAAAAGTATGTTGCATGAATAAGTTTATGATAGATCAATTAAGACTAAATTTAAATTTATGAAGCTATTTGAAGCTAATTTATACAACATTTTTTTGTAGTTATATTATTCATGGGTAATCAATAGTGATAATTCAAGTTTTGGATTAAACTCAAGTCAAACTAATTCAAGTTAGAGTTAGGATAAGATTTTCCTAGTTAAGATCAGATCTAGGGTTTCATGCTGCTATATATGTACATGACACCGAGACACAACTAGTTTCAAAATCTTGTAGGTTTTTTGATAAAGAGTTCTTTATTTCCTTGGACGTAGATTGAAAGTAATAAATTATGTATTTTTCTTGTCGACTTAGTGTATGCATGATATTTTTGCTTGTATATATGTGGATTTTTGTGTTTCCACTTATAAGTCAGAGGGAGTTGTGGATCAGACTAACAAGCTAGAGAGCTTTTCACCATGGATCAAGTAATTTGTCACTGTCTTCTTTTCTTTGTTAAAATAACAATCATGTTGAGTACATAAGCATAATTATAAGATCGGTTGTTGTATGTGTATAGAAAAATTGAAAAATTAATCATGATTAGCTTATTTATGACTGAATTTATATTTGGCGGAATACTTTAAAATTTAAAATAATTTTAAAACATTTGAGTTAAACTTTACAATCTTGGTTTCAAAACAGATAATAATTTGACCATATATTAGTTTTTATTTGTTTGATTCAGTTATAGAAATTTTTTTAGTGGATCAAAACTAAATATAATTTAATGGCAAGTGTAAGGTCTACAAGTTTGAAGGTCTCAAATAGCATGTCGACATCTTAGGATAGAGATTAAGGAGCTCCTAGGAGATTTTGATAGATCAATTGCATGTTGCCACATAATGAGATAAGTTAAATCTATCAAGGTTTATCTTAGTAAAAGTAATTTAGATGATAGTTACCATGTTTTATTATACATTTTTTTAATTGATTTAAATAAAGAGTTACAAAAAAGTCTCTCAAGCAAGTTTGGAAAATTAATTGTATGAAAATTTGTTTTGCCAACAGAAGGTTGAATTTCACTATCATCTTGGAGTGTTGACAAATGATTGGATTAGAGTGATGAATGAAAAATATGTTTAAGAGTATTTGCGACATGGACATGTAGATATTTTTTATCTTCAAGAACCATGATGAGTGAAAGATAACAAGAGTTGAACCCTTACAAATTTACCACAGCCTTGTTTATTAAACTACGTGATTGTCATTTTTATTTATTAGCCAACCAATTAATTATACTAGGAGATATAAAAAGTCTTATTTTCAACAAAAATGTTTCGGATAATTCATTCATCGTAGAGTCTTTATGATCCAATAGGTTTAAATTGTCATGCCGATCGTTTTTCAATTCATCTTTGAAGCATGAATACATACCTGAGAAGCAATAGCATTAACCACACCAACCTCCACATTTGTCATGTGAGCTTTATCCTTGATGCTTAAGTCTTTGGTCTCTGAGCTCTTGAAATCTTTTCTCAATTCCTTCCGTATGGCTGGATTCAAAATAATCAGTTAGCCAATTGTTATATTGACAACATCATACATCAAGCTAAAAATTATGAAAAATAAATGAAAAAATCATTCATTTCCAACTTCTTTCTTGGTATTTTTGGTTGATTCACTTCATTGGATTGTGTATTTTGAATTAGTAAATCCTACATGTAGATAAATTTCTCCTCAAATCTTGCATGTTTTTTTTCCTGGACAAAAATGTTCACCTTGGACTTATTGGAGCTCTTTTCTTTATCAAAAGTGCTTTGCTGATGAAATACATCAGTAGATCTTTTTTTTTCTTTTTTTTGCTTGATGTGTGATCAACGAATGGTTGTGTTAAAAGTTATCAAAGATTAGGATTATTTTGTAGAAAATGATAACATTCACAATAAAGACAATAAGCTACAAAGTCTATTGAAGATGAATTTACTCTTGAAGTATAATTTCCATATACTCTATAGCCTCCTACTACATTATTATTATTTTTCTCTCTGTTGTAGTCCGTTGATCTTAAGATCAATTAAAGTTTTTACGATAGATTTCAACACATGTTACAAATTTTCATTAGGATTATCCATTGTGGATGAACTAGCAAGCATAATATCACTTGATCTTTCTACAAGTGGTAGAGTTATTACTCTAGCCATCAAGCTAGAGCAATCTTTTAAGCTTTATTCCAATCTAATGACAATTCAAATGACTTCAGTCTTAAAAGAGTACTTTTTGTATTTCACCTTGCTTCAAAATTTCAATTTCAAAACTCCAACAATTTTTTTAGCATTGTACTTATCTTTATCATTGTAGATTTCACTTCATTTCGATCATTTTTCATCATCACGTGAAATTCTTACTCCAGCTTCTTAATATTTTTTAATGTGATACATCTTATTGTCACATTGCTTTAAGAAATTGAGCATCATATTTTTATAATTTTTATTGTGGGAGAAAGTTTAAGATAAAATTTTTTGTCAACTTTATTCATGTGTACTTCTCCACGTGCTCCCTTTTGTAATCTTTGTATCGCTCTAAAAAGTTCGGAAAAAGTATAACTCACTCATATTTCTTACTTTTGTAAATCCAATTATGTGTTCACATTTGAAATTAACCTTATGAATGACAAAATCTTTGAATCTACGTCAATTAAATATAGAAATTAAAGAAAGTAAAGAAAGTATAAAAAACATCACAATTTACATAAAACAACATAGCATATTTTCAGTTCAGCCAGAAATTAAATGTCTATGTTAGGAAACCTTTGTGCTAGGAGGACAAGGAAGAGATGAAAAGCTGGGGATGGAAGTGAAAGTAGTAGCTATGGTGCGTTGTGAAGAAGGTGATTATGCTATGGAATATATCATCACTTATTTCAATTTTTGCCCCGCGGACCAAACAAGTACTTGAGGAGTCGTGCTCAATTTCTGATCGACGTTGTAGATTCAAGAGAGTTTGAAATCTACAGCAACAAAGAATGTGAAGTAATGTCAAATTTTGGAGCAAAGGAACATGTTTG